GTGTTAGGCTTAACGCCTGAAGGTTTTGGTGTTTCATCGTCGCCAGCCATGTCTCAGTGTTTGCGGAAGGTGTTAAAGGTGTGTGAGTCACCAGGAATGGTGCTTTGATACCATGAAAAGAAACAGAGGCTAGGCAACGTTTAATGAAGGAGAAGACTCCTGTATTTTCATATATCAAAGATGAATACATACATAGTAATATAGTGCTGGGCTAGGCTATACAAGGCAAGGGCTGTAATTACAAAGAATCAAGATCCTATAATCAAGACCTATACAAGGTAACTAAATCACAATTGTCTCCACATAATCTGTGATATGATTTGCATATTTCAACAAATTTCATCAAGCTCAAGTATATAGCTTGATGAGATGTGACCTTAGCATCCAACTGAAAAATCTGCTTTCCTATGGATTTCGAGGTTGAAGATGAAGAGCTTCAAGAGCAAGCTGCCAGCAACAAGAAGTCCGAAGAACATGAAGTAATCAATGATTTGGAAACAGGGACGGACCTAGGATTTGAAAATGACATGGGCTAAATTCAAGGGCAAAGTTAGGAATATTTGTAGGAGTAGGCTAAATGTTGAAACGAATCCAATGATTGATATATTTTTTTAGACTGTGTTTAATGGATACCTTTTTTTTGGGTGTAAATTATAAGCTCTTGTTTGTTACAAAAAAAAAAATTATAAGCCCTCTTTTTCCAATATATATATATTTTCTTTATCATATTTAGAACTTTTTTTCTATTCTATTGACATTTGAAACAGACAAAAATCTTGAAATTATTGATAATATTGTTGGAATATTTTGAAGGGATTGAAGGGAAACAAAGAAAAAAAAAAACAAGGAAAGTTACACATGTACTGGGAAATATTTAGAAGGAATTGAAGTAAAAATAAAATAAAAACAAATATCTCATCCAACCACTGAAATAAGCATGATGCAAGGCATATGAATCTAATGTGAATAAGTGTCGGCCTTGACTTTTGGGTGGCCCTAGGCAATAAATTAAATGAGGCCCCTTTCTTAGTGTTGCATTCCTAAGAGGACACAAATTAATGTGCAAACAACCAATTAAAAATACCCGCAAGTGCACGAATCTATTGAAGTATAGATTATGTAAGTACGGGGTCGATCCCACGAAGAACTTGTCGGCTTCCTATAAGTTCTAATTTGAGTACGTAAAGAATACTAATTTAACACACCACAAATGCACAAATGCAAATTGGAAACTAAAAATGAGTAAAGAAATGTAAAAGAAATGAAACAACACAAGAAAACTAAAGAAAAACACAAACAGCACTTTTTATCACCCTTTTATCACCTATGAACAGTGCTAAAGCGACCGGTCGTGAGGCAGAAGAGACCGGTCGTTTTTGGGCAGAGTCGAAACTCAAATTTTGACGTGAAAAGCGACCGGTCGTCAGGTAAAAGCGACCGGTCGTTTTTGGGCAGATTCGAAACTCAAAATTTGACTTGAAAAGCGACCGGTCGTCAGGTAAAAGCGACCGGTCGTTTTTGGGCAGATTCGAAACTCAAAATTTGACTTGAAAAGCGACCGGTCGTCAGGTAAAAGCGACCGGTCGTTTTTGGGCAGATTCGAAACTCAAAATTTGACTTGAAAAGCGACCGGTCGTCAGGTAAAAGCGACCGGTCGTTTTTGGGCAGATTCGAAACTCAAAATTTGACTTGAAAAGCGACCGGTCGTCAGGTAAAAGCGACCGGTCGTTTTTGGGCAGATTCGAAACTCAAAATTTGACTTGAAAAGCGACCGGTCGTCAGGTAAAAGCGACCGGTCGTTTTTGGGCAGATTCGAAACTCAAAATTTGACTTGAAAAGCGACCGGTCGTCAGGTAAAAGCGACCGGTCGTTTTTGGGCAGATTCGAAACTCAAAATTTGACTTGAAAAGCGACCGGTCGTCAGGTAAAAGCGACCGGTCGTTTTTGGGCAGATTCGTTTTCTCTGTTTTTCAGTTTCGACCTCTGTCCAGTGTTTTGCCTATAACTTTCCAACCGTACGTCCAAAATTCACGTTCTTTATACGGTTGGATTCAGCACAGAAAATGCAAGAACACAGCGCGGACCAAAAGT